AAATGGTCAGTAACTTGAGGCAACTAAAGACTCGTGGCTCACACTGATATTTTAATTTAATTAATTATATAATTAATCTGCAACTGAGTTCAGATACCTTACGCGATTACAGACTACTTTGGCTAAGCTAATAACTCTTGGTGCCATCCGGGAGTAAAATAAAATTTACGGTTGTGGTACTACAGCAAAACCGGAAACTTAATACTATGCTGTAAATCTAAAACTGATCTGCCTTTTCTAACCCTATGTAACAAAAGCCATTTAATTACATGCAGATGATTTATGTAATTGATTATACGTAAACACTTATGTATTATAAATTTAGGTTACCATCTCTAAATTGCCCTGATCCCATCTTTCCTGGTCCACGGGGTTCAGGAAATCGAGCTTCTCCTTAAGAGTTTTGGCACTGTGCGAAGGAACGAAAATGCGGATGGACATTTTGGCTCGTTCCAGTGCCATCGTCTCCTGTAACTTCGGAATAACCTCCAGTGCCTGAAAATGAATATGTAAAACAGCCATCATTCTTAAACGCATCGTTCGTTGACCTGTTGTTTACCGGTTCGATTCGGCTTGACGGAAAAGTGGATATCGTGCAGCGCCTTTTCAATTACGCTCACCGGATATGGTAGCTTAGTTTCAGGGTTTAAGCACATGTCAGCGACCGTCGTTGCGATGTCCTTAAACGAAGACTCCAGTTGCACGTGACGTTCCTTTTCTGACACTTGCAGCTCGCCCTTGTCCAATATCTAAACGCTGGAAAATACATCGCATCACTGTTGTACCGCTTCTCTCCTCATATATATTCAAATTTAGGTGAAATAATTTTTAGATTATACTTCCCTCGAACATCTATCATTTATTTCAGTTTTGAATCAAAAATGGAATTACTGCTGTGGAATTTATTTTTTCCCTTTACATAACCTGTACAGAAATTGCCGTTGAAAACACAGTAGTGAATACAATCAATACACTTTAAAGTAAATCTAAAAATGGAATCTTAAGAACTGAAATGAAACAACTGTTACAGGACTTAAATCCAGTCAGAAAACTATTAGCATTTATTTCCGTTTCGAACACAAAGTCAGGGCTAATAATAAGTCACAAAGTAGCCTCAACGGAAACCAGACTTCGGCTGCGACATTACGACTTCTACAGAATCCATTCGATACCTGTGCAGGAGGTCATAATAAAGTCAAACATACAATGCAATTTCAAACGTTTATGATCGGATTGAACACGTGGCAATCTTACTTTAATCAGACTGCTTTTAAACTCTAGTAGGCTAAGATAATTTTGCCTCGATTTCCTTTCTGGATTAACACTGTTTAGTATAAAGCCTTCATGTCCTTAGGAGATGCAATGATAAATTAAAGTCTGACAAGCTGATGATTATTTCTAGCTTTGCTACTTTCTCCTGTACCGAAGGATACAATTTTGACTAAGCATTTGGCTCGTGCATTGATGGCCATGCTGAAAACAGCATAACACGATTTATTTTTATGGTTGGTCGGATGTTTGATTACTATAGACGTTCTGACCCGTATCTCACGTTTCACGGGTCTGTTTTAAAGGTAAGAAGTTTGCTGAGTTTCAGAAGATTTTCTTGTTACCCGCAGCGGTTGGTACATTAGGAGCCAGAAGGCAAGTTTTTAAGTACTTTTCTGTCGACCTGAGTGATAAGGTTCATATAATTCGTTCGTTTTGTATCCTTTGTTATGGTTCACGTGATTTCAGGGCTGGATGATTATCGCCTCCTTGACGTACCTGTTCAGCTAGTGCATTGCTTTTATGATGAAGGCATACAATGAACATTAGGGGAGAGGCGTGTCCTTGCTGTTCCGCGTGCTGCCAATCCCGGGGGCTTTTTACCCTGTTCCTTCACTCTGCTGAAGCAAAATCTGTTCTTGTGGGGCGCTTCATTACCAAGCGGCGGTCTTGTTCGTACGAGATCATCCATCTTCTTCTGCTTGACAGGTGGGTAAAGATGGTGATAAAAGTAAGGTACTAGACCAACTGAACAGCCTATTGTTTCAAAATATCGAGTTCATTGTTGAAACAATAAATTAATCTACCTTTTCCTGTAATCCTAATAATTAGCAATAGCAACTGCTATAAAACGGAAGTCATCATAAACCTGTAAGCACTG